CAGCAGGGGACAGACGCACAGGTTTAGTGCGGTGCTGTGGTGGGGAGGCTGGTTCTGCAACAGGTTCATAAGTAATGAAGAGTGACATCAAGGAGTATTTGCTGGTTTAAGACATCCTGTGTAATTATCAAAGTGTATCTTTTTAGGTGTTTTTTTAGGGTATCTGGGGAAGGGTTTTCTTTTCAGTTGTTTCACAAAAGAGATGTCAAATCAGCATGAGCACGCAGCCTGAACTCACGTTACGAATCTGTTTACAACCTTGACTCCGCAAAGCGCTTCTGCTTTCTGAATATGTGACTTGTGCGAAGGCCCTGGCAGCGCCTGCCCCTGCAGGGCAGCACACAATGCCGGTTATTGACCGACTGGAAGGGAGGAGAGGAAACCCTTGCACTGAAAAGAGACCATCCCTGTCCTCTGCACTCCCTCCCTTGAGGTACTTATACTGATTAGATCCCCTCTCAGCCTTCTCTTCTCCAGGCTGAACAGGCCCAGCTCCCTCAGCCTCTCCTCATAGGGCAGATGTTCCAGGCCCCTGATCATCCTTGTATCCTTGTATGGATTCCTGAAAGTCACAGCGGTTTTGCTGTCCGCGCAGATACCCACGCAAGTTTTTTTCCGTTCCAAGGTCATCTCAGAGGGCAGCACCAGATTTTGCTTTCTTTACTTGTGTTGCTGTTTGTGCTTGTCCCATTTCCTTCCTTTCTCTGTAGACCCCCAAGCCACACACGTTTTCTTTCAGTGCAGCAACAGGCGATGACTGTCATCAGACCCAGCATGATTGGAAGTTTTGTCCCATACTTCTATATGATGTTTTTATAGACAAGACTCATGTATTAATTCCATGTAACTTGTACTGTATTACCATTCTTACTCAGCATCTTCATGAACTTTTATTTCCCTGATTTTTTCTACCTCCTTCTCCTCCTATATTTTCTCTTTCTTCTGTGTTATTTGCCAAGGCTTTCTTTCCACTCCCACCACTTTTCTCATTTGTTCTCTGTTTCTCTTTTATACATATTTCTATATAGCTAGATCTCAATGCAATCTGTGTATCTACATTTAATATTTTGACCCTCCAAAATGTAAAATCTTTTCCTATTCACTTCCAGTATTAATCTAGCTATCTACTTTGCTCATGCATTAATGGTAACCTTCTACATTTATTGGATTAAATCCCTCTTTGGTTATCTAGAAGGTAACTGATTGTGGCAGGAGAGGTGCCGAGTATTGCGATTTGGTGGTACTGGGAGCTGAAACAGGTTTTCTGTTTGCATGAACGTCTGTGCTCGCTCGTTTCAGTGGAAGGTCAGTGCTCTGAAGGGGTCCCCTCTTGCTCCTGGCTGCGTTGCGGCTTCTCCTCTGTCCCGTGGCTCCTTCGCAGCCCCCGAGCAGCGTCCAGGCCTGGTCCGTGCGGGGAGAGCAGCCGCGCTGTTCCCTGCAGGGCGCCCTGCGGGCTTAATGGGCAAGACTCTTTCATAAGACCAACGTATTTGTGGTTAACTGAACGAGCTAGAAATCCACATGGAACTCTATGCAAGTTTTGCCACAAATCCCTTTAAAAATGGGGAGGGAAGGAGTGACATCTGATTGGAGCCATCTCAGGCTGTCGGAATTTTGTGCTATTCTGGTGAGATCATTACTTTTAAAAAAGGAATGAGAAACAGAAAGTATTTAGTGACTTAAAGCCTAATAGTGTTGAGATTACAAGCCTTGAGTGAGTTGTTCACTGAATAAAATTGGATGAAATGTTGTCTTCAGGCATAACTTAGGTACTCCACCCAACCAATACCAGTTTGAAAAGGCACCACAGTGTGGTGGCGACTTCACTGCTTGTAGCACATTTCACATTTGCTATTTTTTGAGCTGCCATCCTTTTTTTCTGAAGCAGCAATACAGTAGCCCTTCAACCATTTTCAACCATTCGTCGCTATTTCTTTGAAAAGTAATAGGAATGCAGGTATCATGTCATTGTTTTTCTGGATTTAAGGTCTCTGCATATTTGATAAACTATTAGAAGTTAGGCACAGTGAATCCTTCATGAGGTGCTGACACTGAGGGAGAGATGCACAGCGTCCTTTGAAAATTTAATAAGGAAAAATGTTTTTCTGCTTATTGCTTTTGTATGAAGAGTGCTCCAATTTTTCTCAAATTATCAGGTTTACAAATTACTTCCTTTGTAAGGAACTTGGAAGGGTCTGGAAAGAGGCAAGCCTCCAAAGCAGAGCCATTTGTTTCAAGTCTGTAATGTTTGTTGACATGGACAGTGGAAGTATAAATGCACAAGGAAATATTTTTCAAGATCAGCTTAGCTAAAGACTTTGTCTTCACTTTAACTACACAGTATTTCTAGGAAGATTTCCAGTTTAAATGAAGAGTTTTTTATTGCAGCCCTTTGAAGTTATTCCTGAATCATCAGTTGTCTTAGGACAACAAACTATTTGGACAATTTGATAATAGTGAAAATTCTTAGAAGAGATTTTTTTTTTTAAAAAAAGTAGGATTAAATAAATTTCTGTGTCTTCTGGTTTCTTTCTTCTTCAAATTTTACTATTTGTATTTTTTTTTTTTAAAAAAAAGTAGGATTAAATAAATTTCTTTTTTTTTCTGTGGTACCAGAGATCTTGCTGTAAGTACTGTAATCAGGTCAACTCTGGTCCTTTCCTTGAGCGTATAGTCCCAGTCAGTTTATATTAAGGTGATGGGTGTGTGAGGCGTTTTGGGGCAGGGTGTTAGTTTTTAGTTTTGCTATGTCATTAACTCTTGGCATAAAGAAGGAGAAAGAATGACCTGGTGATTACGATGCTGGACCACAGGTTGAGTGCAAGAGATTCATGTTCTTGCTCTTCTAGTCTTTCCCTCTGACTGCCCCGTGACAGTGCTGTGCATGCAAACACGGTTCCTGTCTTGGGGAGGTATTTCCAATGACTGCATCCTGCAGCCCAGCCTTGCAACAGTGCCAGCATTGCCAACAATGTTTTGCCGAGGGGAGAAGTCACCGCTTGGGCCGTAGGTAGCTGCTTTTTTGCTGTTTTCTGACAGCGGGAAAAGGGACAGACAGACGGACAGATGAAGTACCTGTTCCCGCAGATTCGTGCCTTGCTCCAACATTGCCTTGTGTGCAATGACATAGGGGTTGCCATGTACTTTAACATGTTTGTGCTTCAGAAACAAGCACTTTCACCTGTAACTATGCAGTTTCATTAAATTAGCTTTCACATACTGAAGAAAGAGCAAATATACTGTTGTTATAGCAAAAGAGCAAATTTGAGATGTCTCAGAATACCTTGACAACTGCATAAATACCTATTGCAGAAACTGGCCCTCTTGTTTCCAGACTGAAATATGCACCCATAAACTTCTTTACCATAAATTCAGAAATGCAAACAAATTCAACACCTAAGGCTTCTGGTACAAACTTTTGAGTAGTGATATAGCTAGACGTCTTTTGTGTTGTAAATTGAGCCATATTTTGCTAAGCTAGATGCAAAGGAGGCAGCTGATTGTTCTGCAAGTTATTTGTTATTCCTTAGTATCTGATTTGCGGAGAAATTTTGTCAAATTTATAAGCAGTCAGTGTTAACTGTGGAAAATCTAGCTATTTTTTGTTTTCATTTCCCAAAACAGCAAACTTGTAAGAGGAATATTAATTAATTAATATTTTTTTAATGAAAGTTACGGGATTAATGGCTATGAGGACTCTAACCTACTAATTTTCCACTGAGCTGGTGCAGGAACAGCAGCTGTAGTCCTGGTTTTCTCAGAACACCTTGCTGGTGTTACGTTAGTCTAAAAGGAGAGTTAGTGCAGACTATAGTCCCAAACAAGTCCTGGGCAAGACAAAAAAGAGGATGATAAGTATTGTTTGTAAGTAGTGTGTATATCCAGTTATCTACAGAAAGTCAGAAACCTGTTATACATACCTTTGCTTTTCTTAATTTCATATAAATCATAAGGAATGTCTTATAATTACTGATAAAATTGCTTGGTTGCTGTTGCTAATTGCTTTGCCACTCTGTTAATTGCAACTCCCTTCTTTAAAATATTTTTAATATTTTTTTTTCCATAGCAAAATGGTGGCTATCGATCTTTACCTCTCTCTGGTCATGTTGGCTTTGATAGTTTACCAGATCAGCTGGTTAACAAATGCATCAAGCAGGGCTTCAGCTTCAACATTCTTTGTATTGGTAAGTAGTGCCTGGGGGTCTTAAGGCTTTGATTGTAAACTGTACCTCTCCTTAGGGAGTGACCAACCTTTAAATCCAGTTGCAACCTTAAATTCTTTCTTTAAGCATGAAATATGATTCCACTTCTTTCTCTGGCTTTGTTTTACTCATGTGCACACATACACACTATTTTCTTTTCATATTTAGCATTTCTTAGGTAATGTGAAGCTCAAAAATGTCAAAGATGGGTGCCATGTATTTTTTGATTTATGAATCTTTTGAGTAAAATGGGGCACAACCATTTTTTACTGCAGGAAACACACACTATTTTTACTCTAACAAAGAATTTTAGATCAAAAAATCCTAAAGCCTAAGAGGACAATACTGAAGTATTTCTATGTTTATCAGTTACTTGCTTGCCCCTTGCTTACCTCTTTTTGATTTTAGGGGAAACCGGAACTGGGAAATCGACCTTGATAGACAGCTTGTTTAACACCACTTTTGATGACCCTGTGTCAACACATTTTCAGCCAAATGTAAGACTTAGAGCCCGGACATATGACCTGCAGGAAAGCAATGTTCATCTGAAACTAACCATTGTAAACACGGTGGGATTTGGGGACCAGATAAACAAAGAAGATAGGTAGGTGTTGTGTAGCTGTCGTGATATTGCAAGAATTTAGTCTTCAGTTGCAACTCAATTGCAAGCTGTTTTTCTTTTTTTTTCCCCTTGGGATTTTGCAGTAATTTAGAAAAAGCATGTTCTAAATTGGTTATGTGTTTTCTCAGTGTACCAAATCAGCCATGGCTTTCTTATCTTGGAAATGATTGGAGAAATCACTTTCAACCTTGCCCCCTTCTTTATATTGTACGCTTTTACAAATATATGTCGATAAAATATGTAATTGTCACTGGAATTTCTTTTGGGGAGTGTGGGGGAAGCAGGGAGAAGGCCAATAAGGGACTTCTAAAAGAGCCAAACATAAGTATAAACATTGTATAAAGTAGATCTACACAGGTTTTTAAAAATTAAGTGGAACATATCAAAGACTTTAAGATGGTAGAAAGATCATGTGCATTTTTGAAGACTTGAACAGCTTCATTAAAATGTAGAAGGATAAAGCGGCTGTAACAGTGTCTTTTAAGTCTCTGTTTTTGTGAATCAAAGATTTTAAGATATTGAACTGCTTTTCAGTGGGTGTTGTTTCTTCCACCCTAATTCTAGAGAAATTTTGTAATCCTCTGTGTTAAACAAAAGTCAAGTGATGGCAGTTAGAAACAAAGGTTAGAGAGTTGTTTTAAGATTATCAGGAGATCTATGGCTTGTGACACAATTGGAAAATAGCTTTTGCTCATGACTCTGATGAATGAGTTGTTAATAAATATTAATATAGATACCAGAGATTTTATTGTGTGGTGTCTATACAATTTTAATATTGCGAGCAGTTGTCCTTTAATCCTTCTGTATTAGTTTTGTGTGCAACAACTACTTCTATGATTTCATTGCCTTTGGTCTCATTTATAAATTTTGTACAACAGCAGAACAGTAAGGACCTGCTGTTTATACATCCAGCAACACTTTCTTATTGAAAACAGATTACAATCTGTTTTTCAGCAAGATAAAGAATACTTAAACTGCACTTATATTGCAAATCAGGTTTTCATTCTTCTCTTGTATTCTTCCTTTTCAATGTGTTTATTGGTTAAGAGCTCTCTCGTGTACAGTACTTCATTTTCAGAAGATATAAGAAGCCCTATTTTGTGGCAGTGGTGATTACTTGTTATTTCTTTTCTTGTATTTCTGAGGGTTCTTTAGTTGCACAGCTTGATTGCAAAAGTTTATAAAACATTCATTGGGAAGATCACTAATAAGCATAAGTAATTATACAGAGCTTTTGCACTGATAGTAACTAGGGAATATTCTAGCGACTACACAGATCTTGTTCTTCAAGAAGCATCTCAGAAATTAAGATTATTCAGTACATTTATTTTTCTTTTCTACTATTTTGATTATTGAGCATTCTTTTGGGATGTAAGCAAAAATCCACAAAACAGCAAGGCAGGAATTTCCTTCTAAGTCTTTTTCTGCTTAGGAGTAGCTAATCTCTGGTTGTTGAAATTTATTTTATTTCTTCCAGCTATCAGCCAATAGTGGATTATATTGATGCACAATTTGAAGCCTATCTCCAGGAAGAACTGAAAATCAAGCGTTCTTTACATAGCTACCATGATACCCGCATCCATGCCTGCCTCTATTTCATTTCACCTACAGGCCATTCCCTTAAAACTCTGGATTTGTTAACTATGAAAAGCCTTGACAGCAAGGTAAGACTTTGAAATGGAGTCATAAGAATTTGTCATATTTTCTGAAGCCTCTTGCAGCTTCTAGATCCTAACTGTTTATTTACAAGTTGAAAGGACAGGATATGCATCCCTTTTAAGACAAGGATAAAAAAAAAAGCAGCACATCAAGTTTTTTAAAAAAAGTACATATAATTTTTCTTTTTGTAACAAACCATTTCAAATCTTATTGTGATTCAATATCTTACTGTGATTAGATAGAATAACCTCCAAGTGTGCTGTAGGGTTTTTTTTTTTTTAATAAAGCTTATTTCTAGTTCACTGTCAAATATTTGGGGCTGCTGGAAGTCAGCAGGATTTGTTTGGATATGAAATAGTTTAGTAGCAATATGAAGAAGTTTATTATGGTAATTGAAGAAGCAAGTGCCATGAAGAAAAAGAATTCTTCCCATGTGGCTTTCTCTAAGATAGGCTCAGTCAGTGTTTTAACCTTCATGACTTGATTTGTTTTGAAATCTTTAAAATAGCAGTGTTCAGTGTAATTACTTGCACTTACCAAATTCCTATTTTTTTTCTCCTGAAATCAGGCTAGTGCAATGGATAAAGTTAAATGTTTAACCCATTTTAAGGCCACTACTATCATTTGGTTTTAATTTGTTAAAATATTGAGAAATTTGAAAACTTCATTGTGTCTCTGTTAAATATATTACCATTTCCTCTGTGCTTTAGTGGAGCCTTTCCTGCCAAATTTTCCTCCCCGCCTGTCCTCCTTCACGACGAGTGTCAGGTCAGCCGTCCCTTCCAGCTTGGTGACTGATGAGCACGTTAGGTGTCGTGGTGGTTTTGCTGGCTGATGAATTCAGGCGCAGTGTGGCACGGTTTTAAGCAGTCCCGCACTCTCAGCTCTCTCAGTAGCACAGAGTAGGGGCTGGTAGGGGAGGGTAGGGTGGTTTCTTCCAGCTGTGGAGGTGGTTTATGCCAGCCTAAAATGTTTGTGAAACTACTGTGTGATCTGCCGGGACAGCTAGAGAACCTTCACAGGAGAGGACGGGCCAGCCTCTTGGAGCATGTTGTGCTGCTCCGAGGGAGCTGTGAAGATGCAGGTTGTATTAAACCACTAAACTGGTTTCTTGGTTGTGTTAGCTTTTCAGTAAAGACTGAACTCCCTTAAGAGTGGTGTATCCCTTCCCAAATAGGAGTGAATAGGTCCCGGAGGTGCAGCATCCTGAAGAGTAGACATTCCATCAGAATAAAAATAAAGTAATTTTGCTCTATGGAATTTTAGCTTCTAGCCACCTCCTTCAAATATTTTGAGCTTTGCTTTGGTTCAGAAAGAACATAAATGACGTGTAACTTTGTTGTTCTCTCCGTTTGCAGTGGATTCTATGTTTGATCTTACTACCATATATATATCCTGTACATATGTGTGTATATACACAAAAAATGAGTACATATATATTTACTCTAGTTTGGTTTCCATCTAATTTTGGAATGTGTGTGTGATGCTTTAAGTACTGTGTTCTCCCGGTGGTTGTTCCCAGGATGTGAAAGCTTTTGGCTAATTCCCTGAGTACAGTATTCCCCAAAGAGAAGGTGGTACAGCAGTAATCTTATATCAAGCATATAAATCTACATCAGATGTTGTCTTCAGTATCTGCTTCCTAAATCAGCTGCAGTATATACTGTGTGCTGTGCATTCATCATGTCTATCTGCTGTAAAACAGGGCCAGATAACAAAGATCAGAGGTAAAGAGGATACTTGGAATAGGATGAGCTCATCCTGTATTCTGTTTATAATCACTGGAGAGAAACAAACGTATCTGAGGGCAATTCATTTTTTTTTTCATTGCTTATAAATTTAAAGACTAGCTAAAAACTTGGCATCAGACTTTCAGACATTGGAAAGTAGTTTTGCCTAGGAAGGTAGTCTTGCTTAGGTCTAGAAAGTAGTTTTGCTTAGGGATCAGTAGAGATCAGCCAGTTTTCATTCAGAGATTAAGGAAATCCATTTCTGTATGGTTTCTTGTTATGAACTAGTGAATATTCATGCTTGTATTTTTAAGTCACTTTTGTGGAATCCTGTACAGATCACTAAGAAGTCAGGAAACTAGGTGAGTGTATTTTGTGGGGTTTGGGGTTTTCTTCTTCAGGCATAGTCTTTGGAAATTCTTGTCCTGATTTGTACAGATTTAATGCATGAAAATAAGGAATTTGGAGAGAATCATTCCACCAAAATATTATTGAAACAAAAGATTATATACTGGAGAGCTCAGTGCAAATCTTAACACACAGATGCCTATAAATATACTTAAATTAGCCTGCAAGTTATCGACCAGGAATAATTCCAAGTATATTTTTCCTTCTCTAATACCAAAACGTCTGCTGCCTCCTTATGCTGCACTGCAAGGTGGTACATTAAAACCTTAATTCAGAGTATTAATATGGTTTCTACTTGTGGGGAAAAATAAAGATACATTACACTTGAGATAGCAAGATGATCAGAGGCTAGATTTGATGCTGCACACAGTAGAATAATGTGCATGGATAAAGTGTAAGGTTTATCTTGGTGATTTTTTGCGATTCAGAGAGACCTAGACAGGATGGAGAGTTGGGCAGGGAGGAACCTCATGAGGTTCAACAAGGACAAGTGCAGGGTCCTGCACCTGGGGAGGAATAACTGCAGACACCAGGACAGATTAGGGATTGACCTGCTGGAAAGCCGCTCTGCGGTGAGGGATTTGGGAGTCCTGGTTGACAACAAGCTAACCATGAGGCAGCAATGTGCCCTCGTGGCCAAGAAGGCCAATGGGATCCTGGCCTGCATCAGGAGGAGCGTTGCCAGCAGGTCGAGGGAGGGGATCCTGCCCCTC